GTGGTAACATTGGCTTTAAGCCATGAAATATGCGAGGGTCTGGAGTCGACCAAGCTTTGAACTAAGGTCCGGTTTAAGTAGAGATGAAGAGAGAGGCCAGAGTTGGGGACTGCAGTTAAAATTGAACGATCTGCAGCAAAGAGTGGAACCTGAGGGGATGAAATATTGTTGAGCTTGAGGAAATCCGATAAGGAGGTTGCACTGTTTGGTGTTGCGTGAAAGGAGAAGCCAACCGGAGTCCCTGTAAAGTACAAAAAGAAAATGGCAGTGTGAATTGAAACAGTTAGGTAGTTTGAAAATTGAAAAGAAAGTAAAATAAAGAAGAGAGATACAGACCAGAAGAGCAGAGAGAGTGAAGAGAGAGGAGGAGGAAGAAGAAGAAGAGGAAGGAAGGAGGATTAGCCATAATATTATAAGGGAGGGTGTTTTGTGGGTTAAGGAAGAAGGTAGAGGAGGATTTTTAATGTGATTCATATAATGGCGGTGGGTAAAGGCGAACAAAGACAGGGCTTTTGGAATAAAAAAAGGCAGCAGAGAGGGCTGAAGAAGATAAAGATTGAAAGGGGAAAAAGGTAGAGACTCCTCTACGTGTAATGATAAAGGAAACATGTTACTTTGTCACGAAGGATGGACGTTGGATGTCTCCCACAGTATAAAGGGCCATGCTTTTTTTTTCTTCTCACTTTTATATATTTCTGAATTACATCTTATCCTAATTATTTTTTTAAAAGAGAAAAATAACCATCATCGGAAATTCTGTTTCAAAAAGAATTATGACATGAAACGATTATTCTTTAAATATTAAAAAAAGAATCACAAAATAGTGCAGTAGCACATGAGTTAAAATATGTAAACAGTTCCTTTAAGAAAAGAGTATACAACTTCAATTATCATCTTACCAAAATCAGATTGAAGAAAGAGAGAAATGACAAGACATGACATGAGATATGCACATGCATGAATTTCTCACTGGGTAGATATTAATTATCATGAAGACACTGATGCTATGCTTACGGCGCTTGGCTTTAATAAAGAAAAGATGGGCAATTTGCAAACTGCATATCCTTTATCCAATGACCAAAAAAGTGGTAATTGTTTGCCCCTAGATTTGGTGATTAGCAATTAGTAGCTTTATATGTACAAAGCAGAAGCTTAAACGAGATTCATTTTGTGAAGCAACATCTGCTCTCTCTCCTTACAGTTGTCAGCATCCACTAATTCATATTGTATATAACTAAAGTGGGTAGTTTAAAGATACGAACTTGGTTGGACCAACATCAATTTCTTACCTCATTAAAACTTGATCAACGCACAAGCAAAGCAGATCTTCTCGATGCAATCTTTTTTCTTTGCTTTCTTTTCTCAAGATTTAATTCATGAAATCTCAATCAATTTGTAGTAAACTTTTTATACGCCAGGAAATTAATTAGGGAGTTCATGCATGCAGTCTGCAGAAAGGTTATGGAAAGTATGGAAGCCCATGCACATTTTGCTCTTTTTGGTTGTCGGAATGATCACAAGCACCCTATATATATGTTTATTCTATTACACCATAGTTCAAAAATATTATGGCAACCGCCTTTTTTTTTTTTTTTTTTACAAGTGTAGGATTTGGGTAAACATGTTCTTTGACAGATGAAATGGGATATTAACAGTCGGTCTATTAATGAATAATGCTCCAACGGATTATTAATGTAATAATGGAGGAAAGTGGGGACGACCCATGTGGAATCATCAATCTATTGTGATTATGATATCAAAAGCTAACGCCTCTGACTAGATTACTGCCGAAAGCAAAACAGATTGCACTTGTGCCCTTGCTGGTCAGTAGATACAAACCAAAACAATATCCTTGGATCAAAATCTGGAGAAGGAAGGAAACTGTTTGATACACAGATCAGTCAATTACTTCACATAAAGCAATCTTGGTTGCGTATATATATATATATATATATATATATTTTTATAAGCCTAAGCCTACACAACTTGTCTGCTAAATCAATCTTTATATGCTCGCATATAAATTTTTATGGCAGATTCCAATTCAATGATATAGTTAGCCCAGAACAAACAATTTCAAGTCAAGTCTCTCTCCAAGCTCTTATGAGAGAAAAATAGTTCAAGCTGATCATATAAATATAAATATATATAGAAATATATCATCTAACCACTTTCAAAAATTGTTGAAACTTTACACTCTTCCGATGGCTCGGATACTATACTCCCTCTAGATTAAACACTTGATTTAAATGAGGATTAATAGATCCTCTCTCAAGCTTTGTTTTGAAGAAACAGAAAATTTAATAAATGAAGAATTCTAAGCAGCAAATACACAGATGAGTACTCTCTTTTCTCTCAACTATCACAAAAATCCTTTAGCAAATTACATTTGCAGATGTGGAAAAAATAAAAGAAAAATATTACAAGATCTAGAAAATTTTTGCAGTAAAATACTTGATTTCCACTTCCTATCCTTTTAACGCCTTTGTCAATGTTAAGTTCAGTGATAGCTTATCTGGACAAGTTTCAGCCACTGTGAATTCCACAGCTTCAGTTCATGAATCAGCGTCTCCATGAAAGCTTAATGAGGATAAGAAAGCTTTCTCGGAAACAGGAATAAAATATTAGACTTCCTCCTTCCAACATCCTAGATATGTTATAGCCCATAAGTAACTTCACGAGCTTGAACTTTTGAGTAGCAATACCATGAAATTATTGAATATGCAACCTGAATGGTGTAAAATTGTACAGACGAGACCATCTTACATATGATAAGCTACCACCTTTTTTTCTATTTCATTTCTTCACGAGGCACAATCAACTAACAAGTCACTGAAGAAAGGATCAAAAATTGCTTCTTTTGCAGAATTATACTTCTCTAGACGCTTCTTCAATGATCGCAAATCTCTCTTATTGCTTGAAGAACATTCCTATCAGCATAATCAGCAGTTTGAAATCAAATACTGTCCTTGTCAAAAGTAAAAATAACTGAAGAGTTAGCCTAATTTGTTAATGGGGAAAAGAAAGAAAGGACTTACAAATGATTTTTTGAGGAGTAATATGTCCAACAAGTATATTAACCAAAGTACATTTGTCCGCGGGAAACTGTAGAGAAATGAAAAGGAACTATGTTCAGCATCCATGAAATCTCAAATATAACAACCACAGATGCAGGTGGTTGCTCACAGAATGAAGAAACTAAGATATACTGAAACTCCTAACAAGAATCAATATGCACACAATAACCTACAGGACACCCAGGGGGAGGCAGCAGTCTTTCAGTAGTTTACCTTAATGGTTTCACCATTTGAATCCTTCTCAAACCCACAACTATTTATGATTGGATGTTCAGCAGGAAATTAAGCTTGTTTAACTGAACTTTTGTCCAGATTTTCAGGTGCCCCCCAGACAAAATCCAAGCGGATAAATGCAAAACAATGAAATCCATATATAACTTGTGCATATGATCGCATAAATAATCAACAATATTTTTTTTTGAAATTAAAGTGTAGAATAATATTAATGTGTTGGTGCCAAAGGAGCATCACCCATGTACAAAAGATTTACAGGTCAATAAGTATATGTACAATAAGACCAAAGCCAGCCATGTTATCAAGGTTATGTCTTAAAACAATATAACCAAAACAATAAAACCATTTATCCGTGATATTGACAAAATTATCTTCTTTTTAAATAATCAACAGTATTACCTTCCTTCCCAGTAAT